CCCCCAACCCACCCTTGAGCACAACCCTTGCAGATTTTTTCCAGGCCTTCTGTGTCCACACATTTCCCTCTTCCCAGGTCCTGGGTCCTTACAGGACCTTCTTCCAGGATTTAGGTCCTACTCTCATCTTACATCCCCACCCAAGTCCTCCTCCAGGCTCTCCAACCCTGTCGGGTCACAGGCCTTCAGTCCCTGGATCCTCTCTCTTGGCCCAAGTTCCCCAAGTACCTGCTCCTACAGGGATGACCACAGGGACATCCCTGTCCCTGCCCTAAGGCCTCCAGCCCCATCACTCACATCGCCCCACCATCCCAGACACACTCACGTCCCACTTTCAAGTTCTCCTTATCTTCAGGTCCACCTTCCAGCCGTTTCCCCTTCAGTTCCACATTCTCTATTCTCCCCAGGTCTTCCTTCCAGTCCCACTAACCCCCTCGGCTAGGCTGTATCCAGCCCCAGGGCCTCCTTATAGCTAGGTCCCACTCCCTCCAAGTCCCCACTCCCAAGGCCCTCAGGCTTTCTATCTCTGCTGAATTTGCCCTTCCGTGCCTTGCAGCCCCCACCCCAGGTTACCTACCCTTCCCGGTTCTCAGAATCCCGCGGGCCCACCCTCCACGCCCTGCAGGCGTCCCCGGCCAACTGGCGCCTTCCTCCCTCCCTCCCTCACCCAGCCAGGGCAAGACCGAAGCCGAAGCAGACAAGGTAGTTGGTTTGGTAGTAGAGAAGGTTGTTGATGACACGGTGGCACCATCGCTGCGGGTCGCAAGGATCCGGGGCCGCTAGACGCGCCGACCCCAAAACGAAGTCATCCAGGGCGCGTAGCGGTGGCAGCCGCACCTCCGACATCCTGCTAGTCGATGTAGCTGGACCAGCCAGAAGAGCAGCCGAACTACAACACCCGTTACACCCCGCGCTACCGCGGCGAACACCGGGAAATGGAGTCTGGGCGGGGCTTCTGCTACCCTATCCACCCAGGTGGACGACGCAGGCGCAAAACACGTGATCGGAAATACAAACGCCAGAACCGGAACTGCCGTGAAACTAAATATAGGCAGCGGAGCGTGGCATTCCCATCCACTCCCAGGTGGGGGCGCCAAGGGGCCCTGTTCCGGGTGGCGCTGGCAGCACAACAGTAGCCAGACATCCGGACTAAGCAGAGATGATGGCAGGGACTGTCAGAAGGACCGGAGCAGGATCCCACCTCCTTCCTGTCCAAGTAGGTCACACCTTTCCTGGACACTCCTGCAGTGCCTTTTCAGCCTCACCTACTCCAGGCCCCACCCCCGAGGTCCAGCCATAAATACTATTAATTTTTATTCAAATTCATCATATCAGTGATTGGCTCTTTCTGGGAAAATTTTTTTATCCCCACAGGTTGGATTAGGGCACTTCCTCTGGGGCCCTAGTACTCTTCTCCAGGTTGGGAGCCCCAGGGCATCTGCTGCCCCTCTGGGTCCCTGGCCTGGCCCTGTGGGCACACAGTCCTTAAGGACACAAGAAGTACTTGGGAGAAATGAGCTGTTTAGGCATTGCTCTGAGGAGTGGAAAGTGTGCACCTGCCCCATTAGTGCTTGCTGGCTGGTGGCTTTCAGCACTCCCACTCCCATAAATGCTTTGCACTTTGCCACTGCAGGTCCCTAGCACAACCCACGGGGTCCTTAAAAGTCATCATCATCACAGATGTCAAGGTACACATCGAAAGCCTCTCTGTTGCAGTTTCCATCAGGAGTGAAGACATATTTGTGGAAGGTCCCATCTACACAGATGGCTGGAGGAGGGGGGGGAAGATCAGTAAAAAAGTTAGAGGCTGCCAAAGCCACACACTTGAAATCAGGCATCCCATGGCTTACAAATCTCCTTCCAGGCCTTTGCCCGCATGCCACTCCCCTCACTGATAATGGAGTTGAACCACCCATTCTAGCTTCTTTATGCTTCCTATTCCCTAAAATTCTTTCAGGTCCAACCTGCAGGCCTTTGCCCATGCAATACCCCCAGTCAAGGGTTCCTCCCACTTACCAATGACAGAGTTGACATTCTTGGAAGTGTTGCGACCGAAGGCGCAGATGCAGGCCGACTCAGCAGGCACTGTGAAACTCGCCAGGCTCCACTGAGAGTCCACATATTGTCCAATCATAGGCCCGACTTTGCCCACTCGAGCTAGCCTGCAGGCAGTACTGACTAAGCCCAGGTAGGGTACATGGGCAGGGGTATGGGGACATGGCAGGGTGGGGCAGGGGGAGGGGGTACTCACGCAGAGCGGCGGTTGAGGCGGGTATCCTTGAGGGCAAAGATATGGACCGTGCCCTTATCACTGGAAGCGCACAGGAAGGAAGAGTCATGGCTGAAGTTGATGCTGGAAGATAAATCAGCTATTGTGCCTATCTGTCATATGGTGTGGAGTCGCTGGCCCACCATGCATACCCTGTGCTCACCAGTAGAGGGTGGCAGGATCAGTGCCTCGGCGTAGTTCCACCAGTTTTTCCTTGGACTGTGTGTCAAAAAGGCGAATAAGGGTGCCCTTCTGAGAGGCCGAGGCCACTACGGTGCCTGGCTGGTTCAGGGACACACAGGCCACGTCGCTCTGATGTGCGTTGATGGTAAATGGCGCAGATGAAGTGCCTGGCTTTGTGCTTGCCAGGTCCTATGATGGGAAGGAGCAGTTTTGTGCTTTGGGGTAGTATGGAGGGAAGGG